GGGGGTTTCCGGAGCTGCGGAAGAGCCTCGGGACCGCCTGGGGCTCATGGCCGCGCCCGCAGCAGCCGGCGCTATGGAGCGGTTGCAGCCCTCGCTGTGCGCCCCTCCCGGAGGCCCGGGAACTCCAGGCCTGGTTTGACGTGTGTAAAGTGTAACACTGGGAAGCAAAACTTCTCCCCCCGCCCCCCCCGGAAGTTTCCAGCGCGCCCGCTTGTGCGTGTGTTGCATTGCCATGGAAACCGCTTGTCACTACGTCACGGAGACCGCTTGTCAATACAGAAGCGAAACTGGTTCCCAATAGGGTGAAGCTAGTTGGGGTTTTTTGCTTCTTGTTAAGCTGCCGTTTAAGGTTGACACTGCTTGGAGCTTGTTGGCTGCCGAATAGAATCGAAGTCTTTGAGTTAGTGCAGAGGGTAGAAACTTTCTCCTGTCCATTGGCAGTGTAGGCTGAAACTGTTCCTGGCAAGGGACTTGAGTGGCTGTTTTAATTTTGTGGAAAGAAACTTTGTTGCCTACGAAATAATTGACACTTTATTGCGTATAGGCATCAGATTGAGAAACCGTTTGGACTTGGTACAAAGTACATCTAAATACTACAGGTCGAACCTCCCTGGTCGGGCACCCTCAGGACCTGAGTGGTCCCAAACAAGGAAACTTGCTGGACCAGGGGAGGTCAGGTGCCCAGGTTACCCTCCTGGTTGCTGTCCCTGGATGCCTGACCTCCACTGGCTCACCTGTTTGATTCTGCTGCCACCAGCCTGTTCCTGGGGCTCCCTGCCCCCAACCCCACACATGGTAGCAGCTGCTCCCAGGGCTCTCAATCCCCAGGTCACTGGCTGTGAAGACTGCCACCTGCCAGACCAGCTCCACTCCCAGCCACTTGATGTCTGTGGTCAGGGCTCTCTGGATTAGCAACATCTGTGTTCCTGCAGGGCCACTGAATCTTAGGGGAGGATCAGCCTGTAGCTTACACTGAAACAAGCAGCTGTTAGGAGTGTGTCAGATACTCTGCCTATGGGCACAATATGAAACCCCAGAATAACACGTATGTATACATCTTAAGACCAATGAAATAGACATAATACTCCATACATACATGTGAATTGAAATGAGAGGTTGCAGTAGGTATACACCATGCTTTAAGTCATGCTGGCTTGATTTAAATCTGTTTTAATCAGCCGTCACTTGGCAAAAAGCGAACCTTGATTTAGTTGATAAATGTTAATTAGTTTTGCACTCTTTAATAGCTTTTCTAAATAGGTTGAGTCTCAAGACCTTTTGATTTGTAACTACATATCAACTAATGGTGTCCCTAGTCTGTTTGTCAGAGGGCGGAGATTGCTTGATCATTATCTGTTCAGTTCACTCCCTCTGGGGCACCTGGCAGGCAGACAGGATACTGGGCTGGATGGACCTTTGGTCTGACCCAGTGTGGCCATTTTTATGTTCTTAGTGTAAAAGCTCTATTTAGTGTGTGTTTAGCAAAACACATGTATCTCATAAACCCTGTACCTTAACTTGCTCACTTTTTTTACTTAAATTAGGAAATTCTGAACAATACATTGGTCTCCTGGATTAGGATTATTTACTTGTGGTCTGTGTAAAGCTCTGCTTGGATGCAGTTTAAATTCAGTTAAAATATGCAAAAATTCAGATAAGTTTTGTTCTTAGTACTTTGTTTACTGAAATCAGTTTGGTCTGTAAAAATTCAGATAAGTTTTGTTCTTAGTACTTTACAGACCAAACTGATTTCAGTAAACAGTTAGTTGAACCTGTGTTTCTGTTCACTGTGTCCTTTAGGGTATTATAACTTTTAGATCTCTCTTCTTTTTTTGTTTTAAGAACTAGGATTTATTCATCAGTTTGATCAGGAGACGTTTTCCTGCTTTTTCTGCTCAAAATTGATAATTTTTGAATGAACTGATCATTGACCTGAACTGGGTGAATTAAACCGAAATGAGGGCTAAGCCTCTTCTGCAAATGTAGAGAGACTAATTGCTATCAAACTATTTTAGCATTTCAATATATTCTAGTTACAGGTGCTTAACCTTTCAGTTCTTTGAATTTCTTTAAAATTGGCAACCATACATTGTGTATTAAATATTTAAGAGACTAAGTTTAGGCCTTAACATAGATTGAAAGTTTTTAAATTTAATTTTAAATAGGTTAGTTTTTAATAACTAAACCTACTTAATTTTAAATGAAAATGACTAGGGATGTGAATGACTAGTTGACTATCCACCAAGCAAATGCTTATCTGATAGTCGACAGGCTAGTTGGCTAGTTGCTTTCTCCTCCCTCTTCCAGCCTCTATCAGAGGCAGTGGGGAGGGGAAGAAGATGGGTGGTTTCAAAGCAGCAGCACCATGTCGAGGCCGGGGTCAGACCCTGGGCTCCACATGGCACTTCTGCTTTGAAATGCTATGTGCAACCAGGCTGCACACGGCATTTCAAAGCAGCAGTGTCATGTGGAGCCCAGGGTCAGTGGGGGAGTCCCCCACTGGCCCTGTGCTCCCCAAAGCACTTTTGCCTCTTTGAAGTGTAGCAACAGCCTACTTCAAAAGCAGAAGTGACATTATCGACTAATCAAATAGTCAATGCAAATTGCATCGACTATTCAATTAGCCAAATCATCAACATTTTACATCCCTAATGAGAATCTGATCTATTGTAACCAGTTTTTATCCTCCCTGCTTTTCAAGTGGACAGTCTGTTTTGTGAATGTTGTGAAGATGTGCTGCTGTTAATTCCCAGTGTCCGTGGAAGTCAAGGTCTTCATATGCTGCTTTGCACTGTTAATAGCATCCATCAGCCTTGAAT